TGGCCTTCCAATACTTAAAAGGGGCTACAGGAAAGGTGGGGAGGGACTTTTTATCAGGGAGTGTGGTGATAGGATGAGGGGTGATGGTTTTAAACTGAAAGAGGGTAGATTTAGATTATATGTTATCAAGAAAATCTTGACTGTGAGGGAGGTAAGACTTTGGAACAGGTTGCCCAGAGAAGCTGTGGCTGTCCCATCCCTGGCAGTGTTCGAGGCCAGGCTGGATAAGGGTTTGACCAACCTGGTCTAGTGGAAGGTGTCCCTGCACATGGCAGGGGGGTTGGAACTAGATGATCTTTAAGGTCCTTTCCAACCCAAACATTTTCTATGTTTCTATGAAAATGTTTGTGATTGCACTGACTGCAGTGGCTTATGCTAAATGTGTATTTGAGTGAGTACCGTGCACTGACGCTGCAACCTTGCCGAGCCATGTACAAGGCACTACTGTCATGATACACCTTTGTTATGGCTCAGTGCTACTGAGTGTACAAAAAGAAAGCAACTTAGTCGAAGCCAAGAAAGACTGCTAGTGTCATCTCCACCATGGTCTTCCATCGTGTGCAGACAGAGTAGTGTATCACTTTATTTAGAGCTTCCAGGCAAGTAAGTTTAAATACGAAACCACAATGCCCTGCTCAGTTTCAATCCTCAGCTCCATGGCGTAAAGAGGGTCTCTGATCTGAGGGCTTTTCGTTCATCTTTGTATTTCACAGTGGAACCCTGCCAGCTTCCCAACAAGCAAAACCTCTTTGCTTTGCAGGGGAGGTGGGAAGATTTACTCTGAGGAGCAGCCATGGCTATCACAGACAAGTAAACAAATCCAAGGGGTTGTACAGCCCTGGAAGGGTCACTGATGGTCAGTCCCTAATGGTTGTGAGGCTAAGATATTAAGCAAAAAATGCACCTGGATGAAGCATAGCTTTCTTCTGTATTTATTGTTGATTTTGCAGTACATGGGGAAAGAATTAGCAATAAATTTTTGCGTTATTTGAAGACTGGTTAAGGTTAGACGGGTAGGCGTTATTCTGTGTCTTCGTGCTGTCAGTAAAGTTGACTCCTCTTGGTTTGAAATGCTTTCCTGGAATGTATAAGACTTTGGAGCAGCTGTTTGAACAAAATGGGAGCTTCATCTGGGAAGAGCTGTTCTATTAAATTAGCAGCTGTAAATGACACACCACAGTGAATGGAAGTAAATTTATTTTGTTCTGGCTTTCTTCCCTTTCCCCTCCCATCTTTTCCAGTTCCTCAGAAGCCCTTCAGTAGCAAAACTACTCCTGGATCTTAACTTGCTTGAGGAAGATCAAATGAGTTCACATTTCACTCAGATCAACAATAATGAGGATTATGGCTACAACATCAGAGTGCTGCCTCGCCAGTTATAGCCTCCTGCATATCTCCCATAATTGCTTGAGTTCTGTACCTTGATTTACAATACAAGCTCCCTTTATAGGGAGGAAGTGCTGCTGCTGAGTGCTCTCCTGCACAAAGGAACTGGAATATTAAAATGGGTGTGATCAAATACAATTTGAGTTGTCTCAAGCTTTGCCATGAGATACTTTTGTGGAAAAGTACCTGTATTTATCACCTTTAGATTTGCATGTACAGAGCTCCGAGTGATGTTTGGCTAATGTGTGGGGGTTTTTCAGTTTGGTTTTGTTTTGTTTTTTTGGTTTGTTTAACTGCTTGTTTGTTTTTTGTTTTGTTTTTCTTAATTTTTTTAATAATTAACATTTTTTTTATGTTGCTTATGGAAATAGTGGCAGTGGGGATTTTGTACCACCTGTCCTTGTGATCTTAAAAATATTACTTAAAGAAGTACATTTGAAGAAAATAGGTGGATTGGGTTAACATAGTGGATTAATTGGATTAAAATAGTGTAGAACAAAACAATGTATTTAAATTACTTGCAATAGAAAAAAAAAAAAATCACCGTGGCAATTTCACAAGATAGGACAAAAGGGAGGGAAAAAAGGAGTCAAAAGTATTTTTGAATGGTTCTTTCCTATCTGTAATCTGTAATAACTCTCTGGCATGTTATCACACCTTCATAAGTGGTCCATGAAACATCCTGTCTTGGTAGAGTTTTCAGTTGTAAGTTTCTTGGCAAGGACAATGATATATATTAAAAACAAATAAACATCCATAGCTACCCAGTTTTTGAGCAGTAGAAGTATTGCACTGCTAGGATGAAAAAACAAATTTTTGTGACAAATTTAAATTTATTAAGAAAAAAGGGAAAATAATTTAGTTGTATTCTTCCAATCAGTGAGTATAATTATGATGTGTACCTCTGCGTACCTTCCCTTCTAAGGAACTATGAAGTTTTTAAAAATACTTTTTAAAAGTGCTATTTTCATGCTGTTAAAAATTTCAATGCTGAAATATTCTGCCCCTTGTATTTGTGGGGTGTGTAAGTTGAAGGTATGGTTATTAAATGTCGTCACAAGACTCTTAATGTAAAAAAAGCTAATGGAATGGTAGAATGGTATGAGTGCCTGAACCTGCCGCCTGTGGTATGCTGTGCGGGAGAATAAATGGCTTTCAGTCAACTAGTCACAGACATTCAGATCCTTTGAACTCTAATAAGAAATGCACACTTACTTTAAATAGTAAGTGACTAAGCATAGAAATGTCTTGATCAAGTCATCAGAAAAAAAATGAAAAGGCGTTTTCTGTTTACGTTTTGTTATTTCTGTCTGAAATCTCTATTTTACCCTTTGCGTCTTTCCTTTGTAATGTTCCCTGCTGAGAAGGACAGACTGGAAACACAGTGGGGATCTTTGCCTTTTAAGTTGCTCTTTGCTTTACAGAGGGCTATGTGCTGGAAGACCTGGTGTATTTGTCCAGTGTTTTGCTCAGTATGAGAGGAACATGACTATTTAAGAAAGGCAGGAAACTATTATTTGGTAATTTTAGCTACATTCAATTGCCAGTACTGAAAAAGCAGACAGAAGTTTAAATATATGTCTTAACGTACACGCATACAAATCAGTTCGACATTTGTGCTCTTTGTCTTTGGTCAGAAAATTCTGAAACAATCTTGAATGAAAGTGTAAAATGATAACTCTGCATTAATTTTTCCACAACTATAAATACACAGGTCATGCTTATCCACAGCGTTTCTCCAAAATTCTTTCTGTCTTATTTTCTAAATAGCACATATACAGCTACTGTGGTAGAATCAAACTATAGGATGTCTTACAAGCAGGGCTAGATTTTCTTCTAATGCAAACTTGCGCCCCTTTGTCAAAGTCAAAGGATACACGCTTTGCATGCTAATTTTCTCTGCCAGGTAATTTAGCTTGCATCCACTGTTTTTTTTTTAGCACAACAAAGTCTAAATGTTATGTCGATTTCTGTCCTTTAGGCATAATTTTCTTTAGAAAGTTAGTATATTGATAGAGAGTAATAGAGGGCCAGAACTTCCTATCATTTTATACTGATATGATCCACTGTTGATTTTCCTAAATTGCCAACTTTAATCTAATGTTATCTTAAGTGTTGCCACCATTTTTTTCTCTATCAGTTGCATAAAATTAATCAAATTAATAAGAATCATGTTGCTGTAACTACACTGTGGGTCCAGTCCAAAGGCTATTGAAGTCAGATACTCCTCATTGACTTCAGTGAGATTTGGATAAAACTCATTGTTTTCATGCTCTTTCCATCACTGCAGTACCAGACAACTGAAATAACTGTTCCAAATATCAGTGCCTTTGGATACTTTGCATTTCTCTTCTGAGAAAATATCCAAGCAAATATGAATACAACCAAAGTAAATTCTCACTCTCTGAATTCAGAATGACTATTTAACTAGCTTTAATATTTTGATACCAATACTAAGTTTCACCCTTAGTCCCTTTTCTTTGCATACAGATGACAGCTTGAGACAGTTATACCATTTGTTAGGGTTGGAAAAAAAGAATAAAATAGCGTGTTTTAAAAAGCCTCTGCTTTACGAGAAAGTTCTGGAGGACTTTTGAATTCTGTTTTTCATGTTGACAGTGTTTGTAAGTTTGCTCATAATTTCAGTGCTGAAATGGAGTCTTAATCTCTTTCCAGTTTTAGCGTTGTCTGATCCCCACTTCCCTCTTCCTCATCCCCTGCAGCTCTCATAGTTTATTCATTCTTAAGCTGGCTGTCTAGGCTGCAGTTCTCTGCTTGTAAGTGTCATTATAGGTGTGTTTTATGGGTGTTTCTGCTCTGGGAACTGTTGCAGTAGCTGAAAGAAGTCTTTCTAAACATCAGTTTTGGAACACAACACATTTTTTACTTCCACAGATTCACAGCAGGAAAACCAAAGTTTGAAATTATCTTATATGCCTATTTCTAATTATCTACCTTTTAACTTTCCCTTGAAAGTTTTTGTAAGTTCATTTCAGCCTAGTTGTCTCTCTCTGTGAAACTGGAAAAACCAATTGTGCAATTTATGCTGTCTGCCCTCAACCTCCTTCTGCTTGTTCCTACCGGAGTCCCCTGTCCAACAAGTGTTCACGCCTCATTCTTTCCTCGGGATCAGGTTTCACTGGTGGGTTACAGCTTCTTTGGGTATGTCAGATCAGGGAACTTTTGCTCCATTAATTCCAAATCAACTAGTTCAGATAGCAGAAACACTTCAGTGGCCTTGAAGCAGAGCTTCTCCAGTCTGTTTTTCCCTTGTTTAGGCCTATTGCAGGCATCCAGCTGTTTCACACCGTTATTGTACTCTTCTTTGGTGAAAAACAGATGCTTGTTATATTTATGTGTCCCTCTGTGTTTAAAATATTGTGTGGCCAACTGCTGAGGTGTTTGTAGTGTATGCTTCAACTCATAAAAATACCACAAAATCATTAAAAGCATCAACTGAAGAAAAAGAAATTGTGAGCACAATATCTTGCTTGCACCAACATACAGGATGGGTAGTCTAGACATTTACAGGAATGTGTACTTCATGTGACAGGGACAAAAAAAGATCAGAATCGTAGTCTGTGCAATTCTTAATTTGTTTTGTTCTGTCTTAGCTTGTGGCCGTGGGTTCTACAAATCCTCCTCACAAGATCTGCAGTGCTCCCGCTGCCCTACTCACAGCTTCTCTGACAAGGAAGGATCTTCAAGATGCGATTGTGAAGATAGCTATTATAGAGCACCTTCTGATCCACCATATGTCGCATGCACAAGTGAGTCAGTCATGAATTTAATAGTAAAGGACGTTGCTTAACCAACCAGGTGCAGCCACTTGTAGCTACTAGTTTCGGTTGGCTTTTCCTATATTTGAAAAGTACATTTACAACAGTAAATGAAATTGAAAGGCAGAGTGAAAAAAAGTGGACGGTGAATATAGAAATAGCATAAATATAATTCTCATGTTTGCTTGATACAACATTGAAAAACATTGTATGTTGTGTAAGCACGTAACTTATTGTAATAGATAGAATACAGGCATAGTTTTCCCATGGCTGTAAAATTGTTGTAGACAATGTGCTTTATGTGATATAATACCAAAATGAGTAATGTGAAAAATTAAAAGTAACCTGAGTGAATCTGAGCTTTGATTGAGCTGTAATTGGATCTGGCTTAACCTTCTAACTGCAAACAGACTAGCCTACACAGATTGGTGGTTCAAATAGCAGAAGTCTCCTAAATCCGAAGCAACACCAAATATCTCTGTAAATCATATCAGAGCTGGTAATAAAGGACTAGATGCAGCTGGTGCAGTATGTTTAAAAGAGACAAACAAATCCCATACTTGGGAAAACTATAAAAGACAACCTTTAAGGTACATTAACCAATCCTTTTAATTGCACAGAAGAGAAACGGCTAAAGTCAGTTGCAGTAAATATAGAGACAATTGTTATTCTGATGCCTTAATGGAAAATAAATACAGCTCTTGCCAAGTGAGTTCAAGGAAGCTTTTATGCAGCTTGTACTAAAAATAATGAAATGTTTATGTGAAGAAAAATGCTTCAACTAGTTTCGGTCTCAGTAATTAAAATGCTAGCTGATGTCCCACTGTGGTTCTGTGCAATTATCCTGGACTTTTTCGTGTGTTCCATAGGACCTCCATCTGCACCACAGAACCTCATTTTCAATATCAACCAGACTACCGTGAGTTTGGAGTGGAGTCCTCCTGCTGACAACGGGGGAAGAAATGATGTGACCTACCGCATTTTGTGCAAGAGGTGCAGCTGGGAGCAGGGCGAATGTGTTCCCTGTGGGAGTAACATTGGATATATGCCCCAGCAAACTGGATTAGTAGATAACTATGTCACTGTCATGGACCTGCTCGCTCATGCTAACTACACGTTTGAAGTTGAAGCTGTGAATGGGGTTTCTGACTTGAGTCGTTCCCAGAGGCTTTTTGCAGCTGTCAGTATTACCACCGGTCAAGCAGGTAAGTTTTCATCACTTATGAGTCTCAACACTGTGAGATTGAGAGAAAATGGGAACATGCGAATTACAGATGCGGTAAATCAGGAGCATGTTTTGTGTGTTCTGGCTCATTAAGCTTTTCACCTTGCCAAGGAGCTAATTTGAGTTTATGCTATTTCATGATAACCTGTCCTGTTTCTTGGCCTTAGTATTGCTTTCAGAAAACATTCATGAAAGACTTAAAGAAGACATGCATCTTTGTTATTACTGAATAGATTTTTCTTAACTCTGCAACTTATTTTTTTTTTCTTCTTATGTCATTGTAGGTCATTCCTTAGTATTTGAAGATAAAAAAAGTACTTGCGACAGTCCTTTCTGAATTTTTTAATTCTGTATGAGAGTCCTAGGTCACTGGAAACTGATTTGGATATCTGATGGTGTTTTCAGTGTTAAAGTTTTCCCTCAGGATAATGTTTCTAATTTATCTTATATTTCCAGATATTTGATTATGAGATGATTATTCTTTGTTTCTTCTACTTATCATAATCTGACAGGTGAAATGTCAGAGAAAATAAAATCAAACTAGCATATCACCCCAGGGGAAAAAAGGGCTTTAGTTGTCTACATGCTGAGCAAAAAAAAAAGAATCCCCTGATTTAGGTTTCTGAAATGATGACTTGTTTGTTCATAAAAATTATAGGCCCATGTATCTGCAATAGTGCACTGTGGGCTTTAAGAGAGGATAGTAAAACTAACCTTTGATACATTGAACAAAAGATCTTAAACCGAACTTTAATTGCAAGATGTGGCTTCCGAAGAAATGCCTTAAAAGAAAATATGAAGTGAATAACTGATGCTTTCTGTAAGAACAGCTAACCAATGTTTTAAAGGTTACTTTATGCTTACATCTTGGAGAAAATTTTAATGACTGTCATCAAGCCATTCTTTTTTAGTGCAGTAGAAATAATCCCCTACAGAAATGCTTTGAACTGAGGACAAACTCACCGTACTGGTGCAATGAACAAATAGGAAAAACTGTGGTTATTTTGCACTTTAAAGATGGTCATGTCAAAAAAAAAAAAAAAAGGACAAGAAATATACTTCAAAGCCTTCTCTGCCTACCCCCAAACCTGGGATGGTTTATATAGTTGTTAAATTTAGGCTGGAATATTTATGGGATATTTGATTCCCCGTAGTGCTTTCCTGGATAACAAATGCACAATTTATATTATTTTGGAATCATCCCTGTGACTGGAAGGATTGGTCTCCATGCTCCTTCAGTTCCTGGACTTTATGATGAGATTTTGAGCACAGAGAACTTACCTTGAAACTATTTTTGCACCATAGATTGTATGATTTTGGTACTTTGATTTTTCATCTTTAAAATAATTCTCTATTCAAATGTGCACAGGTTGTCAATGTTCTGCTCTCTGTAGATATCTATACAGAACTACCATGTGAGGAAGAAGATTTGGACTTTTTCCTGTTTAGCCAAATGAAATTGTTTTTACATTATATGCTTTGATGGTTTAGTGGCACACAGGGTAAAGGAAGAGACAGTGCAATTTGGTGGCTAGTATCACATCTCCGGAACATAAAAGCCTTAATCATCAGTTTGTTGTGTTGCAATTTATTATAGTTCATTCTCTTGTGTTCTCAGAGTGGTAGATTTATAGGGTTTTCAGGCCAGAAGACATAATATGGTTATCCTATGTTACCTTGTAAGTAACACAAGCCGTATGCTTTTATGAAATGAACCTCACATCAAGCCCAGAGATGTTAGTGAAACTATAGCTTGCGTATATACTAGAGACAACATCTAGACTTTACCTTGTGATTTCAAGTAATGGAAAAACCTTCACCCTCCTAGATAAGCTTTGTAAGAGCATGCAGCAAGAAGCAGGAGACCTGACTCTGTTCTGTCCCTCCTCTCCAGTTTGCTGTGGGATTATGCACAGACGAGCCTTTCCTAGTGCTACAGAATCTGACACTGTCACTGTTGAGAGAAAGAGTACTCACACAACTAAAGCTTCGTCTGTTTAGCACTTCTGAGTATCAGGGTTTAAAGGCTTCCAGTTGGGCACCTAAAAGGAACATACATAGGAAACTGATTTTGGGGAAAAAAAGGCTTTAAGCTCTCTTTGTGGTAGTTTTCTCTGTCTGTAAAATGAAGGTAACCGTTACCTTTTCTTACCAAGCTCGTCAAGATCTTCTGATTAAAAGTGCCATATAAGTGCAGCATTTCTTTTCACTTGAATTACAAAATTCATGTTAAAGAAAATACAATCTTTCAGAACAAATACATTCACCAAAAGGAAAGATCTCTTTTACATTATTTTTGCAACAGCATGTTTTGGATCCTAATACTGATTTCTTTGGTTTCTCAAGGAGGAAAATATTTTAGGTGGAACAGATTGATGACTATAATTGAACAGAAAGAGACTGGTTGCTCAAAGGAGACTGTTATGCTTCTGTGCTTCTATTTTATTTTACCATGGAGAGAAAGAAAATGTTGGATTTATTTATAGCCAAGTAAACTAGGATTCATGCAGCTCTCATTTGTTACTGTGTGACTCTTCTATACTTTTGGCAAAAATGACTTTTTCTATGCCCATATTGCTTTTCATGTGAGTAAATGTGTCTAACTAAGCCTTCTTCATGTGTTATTTTGCTAGCACAATAGGTGTCTATATATAATTACTGGGTTCACCAGTTGCACAGAGGCTTGCAGTGAGATTTTCCCTTTGTAGTTTCAGCTTAATTGAATTGATCCTTTGTGGCCATATTCACAAAATTCAAATCATTGTGTAATGATAACAGGAAATTATTGATAAAAGAATGGGGTTATAGAATATATTCAGTGTTTCTTCACCCACATATAACAAGCTTCTAATGCAACAAAGAGACCATGTCACAGAAAAGAACCAGGTGGCTGATAAAAAACTATTTGTATTTGTGGAAATAACAATAAAATAACTGCAAGTGGGTAGGTAGCATTTCACATTGCTCACATATACATATGACACATCGCTATTCATTCATTGTGTTAAAAAGACTTTGCAACTAGACTATCAGTTGTCATATGGCATATTTTTTTATGCTGCAGCCAAGAACCATGAGGTTTTTTGTTTTGCTTTGTTTTTTTTTTGACAAAAGCATGAAAGAACTGAGCCGGAATCAGAGGTAAAAGATTAAGTGCACTAAGTCCCCCAGGAGTAAATCATCTTGTTTCATATCTTGCCTATCCAGCATCTTATAAAGAATACAGGATGTCATCCCAGTATTGCAAGCTGATCTATGTTAACCCCTGCATCCTTGTAGAATTGAGGTTTAAATGTGGCTAAGGCCCAGTTACAGTAGGTGAATGTACTGAAGAGCTGCAGCTGGCAAACAGCTGACAAACACTATGCTTGCGAGCTTATTGAATGGTTGTTTACCAAAGATAAAATTTCCCACTTCCCTAATATGATATTCACCTTTTGGTGGTTCTAGTAGTTCCTTTTGATCCATCAAATTTCTTTCCAAATTTTACATTTTTTCTGTACAACACTGAAAAGACTAATAGAATCAAGTAGGTTTCACAGCAGATGAATATTTGTTTGATTTTGACATTTATGCACTTTCAAACTTTTAAAAAATATGTTTTTCAATAACAATTGTATTTTTCTGTCTACCCTTTTGCAAAGATAGCATATTTTTAAAACTATCTTTCTACATCCTTTGCTCTGGAATTTATCTGAATGGACAATGGACTAGTCTCTGATGAAGGGTGATATTCACCCAACCTAGGCTGACACTGAGAAAAATTAAGACAGGTTGGATGAACCTCAACATTTACCAGGGTTTGAGAAAATTTAAGTATCTGTCCTGAGACAGTTTGAGTTGTCTTTATAGTCACTGTAGAGAAAAAAATCATATTCAAGGGAACACTCATCATGTCTTATTACTGTAACCAAACATGACAAACACATTTAAAATGTAATGGCAGTACCTATTCCTAAATGTACTCTCTGTTCTTATGCAGGAGCACTTGCTGATGCTCGCTGTTTCTTCACAGCAAGTGAAAGGTGCCCCACAGTCATGCTGCACCTTCAGATGCACTTAATGCTGATGACTTGAAGTGGTTAAAAAACCCTGATTCAATTCCATAATTAAGGCTTACTCTTGAAAAACGTTTTTGATAACAATTTATTTTGTATATGTCGATTTGCTTTTCCTTTTTTTTTACCTGTTAAGAGTTCAGTTTTCATGCCTCTTCCTACAAAAAACCAGAACCCAAAATTCACAGTTTAAAAGAAGAATAAGGGAAATTAATTTTTCAAAGTTGTAACTTGAAAGAATAAACATTACATAGTATCAAATCATGAGTATTAGCAGCAGTACTGTTGGTTACACAGCAAGAGGAAATGATTGAATGCATAAAGGAAACGAGCCATCCCTTACGAAAAGCTGTGTGATGGGTTATGCCTTTCTTAGGTACTTCTGAAATCTTTCTAATCAGGGGAGACACTGCATTCTCCCCTACTCTACATTCTCTTCTCGTTGTTGCTGCTCATAATTTTTCTCTTCTTTGCTTCTCTTTGCGTTTTCCCCAGCTCTCAATTATCTCTGCTCATTTTTTAAAGTCTCTTCTTTCATAGTCTCTGCACTATTGACCATCTATTTGTTTCCTGTTCCCTGTCAGTCTCACTTAAGCCTGACTTTTCTTCAGCAATGAGCTGTCCTCCAGCAGAGGCAGCAATCAAGAAGATTTATGCCTGTGGCTTTCCCAGTCACTTTGACCTCACTGTTCTAGTCCTATTCTCACTTCTCTCCTTTCACCAGACCATTTTGGTGTCTTCCCATTCTGCCGCCAAATTGTTTTAATCTGCCTTCATCTACACCTTCCATCCAATGTACACTACTGGTGATACATGTCAGCTTATTATAAATAGCTTCAGTGTTCAACTTAATATTGCTTCTATGTTTTCCCATTTCGGTGCACTTCCTTTAGCTTCAGGTTTCATTTGATATTTCCTGCTA